AAATTATTTTTTTTTTTTTTTTTTTTTTTTTTTTTTTTTTTTTTTTTTTTTTTTTTTTTTTTTTTTAAAATTTTTTTTTTTTTTTTTTTTTTTTTTTTTTTTTGAAAATATCTATTACTTAAACATAAAAAAAAAATATCTTCTATTTATTTAATGTGGTAAGTTATACACTTTAACTTTGTTCTTCTATTTTACGGCAAGATATACATATACTTAACTTTATGAACTTAATTGGTTGACTTCCTGTTTTATAATCAATTTTGTTATATTTGAAATCACATGTATATATGCTTAATTTAACTTATAAACTTAGGTTGTTATCTTTTAATAATAATTTAGAAATGATCCAACACAGAATCTTGTATAGTAAGTTCTTATAGTGACTCTACTATAATAGAGTAGATGTCCCCGACTTAATTAAAATTCTGATTTTGAGTAGAAAAATCATGGCTGATTTACTAACTCATTTTTGAATATACTGAGCTGTATATATTCGTGAGAAATGAACCAAAAATATATTTGTTTTAGTTAGGTTAAAACTGGCTTTTTTTGACATTTGTTTTGATTTTCAAATTTAGATGGAAGACATATATTTTCTTTCAAAAGACAAATATCTAACTTTTTGTGAAACTATTTTTTATGTGTAAAGTCTATGTATTTCATGTGTAATTATATTTCCTTTTTTGTTGACATAAAGGTACAATATTTCCTTTATGTTTATTTTTAAAAATAATATATGAAGAAAAAAATTCATTATATATATTATAGATCTTCCCCTTTTAATTATCTAAACTTTTTTAAAAGTATAATAAGAAATTATAATTAAGACCTGTTTAAAAATTTATCAAACAAAAAGAAAATAAAATACTTTTATTGATGGAAATTATGTGTAATTTTAACTCATTAAGATTATCTTTATAATTGATTGTTTTAAAAATTAATGTGAGATCAATATATTGAATATTAACTTTTCAAATAATATAATAGAGATATCCTCGTTTCTAACATTGCTAATTAATATAGTTTTTACTGTATTTGACTAGTTGTGGTTGGTTGGTCCGTTTCCAAGTTGTAAGAATGTACAAAAAATAGAGGTATTGGCCAATGAAAACAAAATATGAGAAAGGCACAAACAATTTGTAAGAATGATGTACAAATAATAAAGGTATTGGCCAATGTAAACAAAATATGAGAGAGGCATGTTATGTGCCACTGACTGTATTATTCACCCAGTATGACATTTTTTCATTGGATATAATAAATCATTTAGTCATAGAAAAGAGTTCAATACTTTACATGTACCAAATGCAGGTCCGGCCCATGGTACAAGCAGAGTAAACAATGGCTTAG